GTGTTATACAACAGCATTAAAAGACAATTAAATTTAATCTAATCAATTTATGTCGTTAAAATCTAATTCCAGTTCAAACAGAATAACCTACTGTCAACATAATTATGGAGTGTGATTTATTTTCAACTCGAAATATTTTCTAAATAACGAAATATAAAATTATTAGGGAGGAAAACCCGTCTGGATAACAGCAGACTGACTGCTGGTAAAATATACGACAGGTCTGGACCACTCGTGAATTTTGTTCGTATCTGAAAAAAATCGTAGAATACGAAAACATTGGTGAATGCCACAAATTCTCCTAAATCACTCGTACGCACAACTTAAGAACAAATCTGAACGGTTCTTGCATGAGGCCCATTGTGATTCGAGATGGCACCACAGCAAATCAATCTTAGCAAACACAGACATGCTAGGACAGAATCTGAGCTTAAGTGGCGGTAGCTGAGACTGATCCCCCTACCTGAACTCTAACTGATAGCAAAAGATCTGTGTTTAAAACTTTGTCATTTGTTTTTCTTGCTATCATTCTCAGCATGTACACTGAACTTAACACCTTGTGAGATCTTTGCCTCATCAATCCCRTTTGTCTGTTAGCAAAATAAATCTCATGAACCACTCAACATATTTCAGTGAAACTTTTAGAAAGTAATCCTTGAATGTACATCAGCAACTATTTTTAAACCAAATCAATTCAAGATGGCTGACACAACTAAACAATATTAGCCAACTCAACAACTGCTATGACTCAGTCAGTTTTACAGATATTTAACTAAAATTGAAAAATGATTTGGTAGCTACTGGGTTTCATTCCCAACAGCATTGTTGGTACACATTAAAGTAAAAGTGAATAAGACAGTTGTTGAATTTTGGTTTTCCGGAAACTTTAATTGGCATGCATGTAAGACTCTTCTTGCAACTTATAATGACTTGCAATAAATAATGCCAAATCAGGAGGGTGGTTGGGGGCCTGTAGTGAGTCAATTGAACCAGATCGCTTTAATCAATGATTCAGATTAACCTGGATCCATAAAGCGAACTTGAATTTTTCTGCTCCAATCCCAACTCTGAAATAAACTTTTTTTTAACATTTTGTACTGGCTTTATTGAATATTTGCACACTTCATAACTATTATTTATAACAAATTACTACCAGGAGGGACCGAAAAGTGAAGGCATAGAGGACACATGAAAAGTATTTTAACACTGGGCCTTTATTTCAAATAAAAAAAAAGTTTCAAAAGACGATAAAGTTCAAAAATATAGCTAAGTGACCCCAAAAACAAGGTCATTTAAATGTAAATATGCAAAAAAGTGACTTTAAAGCATATTAGCACACAAAATATATGCCCATTAACTCCCCAAACTGACCAAACACAAATACGTGGAAGGATAGCTTATAGTGAACAGGTCAAACCATTTGCACTGAATAGGGGAACTTAACTTAAACTTAACAATAAGGGAAACACTCCTCCTGCTGAGACGTACATGATTGGTCCCACTTAGCTAACATGCTTCCAAAGTCCTCAGGCCTTGGCCTCACCTCCTGCCCAGACAAGAAACAGCTAACTCCCCCAAACCAGATTACAAAATATGGCTGAGGCCATCACTGCTACACATAAAAACCCTGCTAAGACTGTGTCATGATCCACTTTTTATACACTGCAGAATATACTCTGTGTTGTGCTTGCTTATCTCATCTATGATGATGTCACACTAATGAGGAACTGCAAATCTGATTATGTGGTGTAACAAGAGGAGTGGGGTGGGAGAGGGGCTAGAATTACAGTTAGTCCAAATCATCTCAATGACACTTTAGGGTATCGCTCATACTACTCTAGCTGTTTATAAAAATAAAGAATTTCTTCTTTTGTAAAAAAAAAAAAACATCAAAGACTGAAATAAAACCCTACAGTTTTGGGGTATCTATGTGGTTTATAGATATACAACTTTTTAAGAAACAATGATTTTGCAGCTTATTTTGGACATTCACTTCAACTTCTGTCTGGCCCACCAAAAGGACCATAAACTACATCTCCCATAATGCATGTCAAATTATGCATGGGAATTCCCCGTCTGAAAGTGGGAGGGTTCAGACTTCAAGACTGCACAATTCAACATTGAGTACAACTTTACTTTTGCATTTAATAGTATTTTTCTATTATTTATTTCACATTTAGTCAGTCATACTTTTCAGTGTTTATAAGAGGACGTGTTAAAACATTTCTATGCAGTAAATACCAGGTAGAGCTCAGTTATTGTTGGCTAGTGGTGCTTAGCCATAGCAATGAGACGAGGATTGTGATGTTTTTTTAGGTGACACAAACCATTGAAGTTAATTACAACTGGCCCTTTGAGGACCACCGTAACACTCATGAGGCCCTCTGTGAAAATGAGTTTGACCCCCCTTGCACTATAGAAACCAAAATAATGGACTTGTTTCACCAGTTTTCCTGTCTGTTGGGTTTTATTAAAATCATGTCATCAATCAGTCTTGATTATGTGCTGAAATGGTTGTTAACGCAGGGAAAATTTTAAATGATATTAAGAATGAAGATTGGACCCATTCCTTCTTTAGTTCTTTACAGCTATTGTGATTTTTCTTGTTTTCCTCCACAACGCAAAAATGGATGATAATAATTTTGCTTCATCTCTGTGTGACCAAAATACGTCATAAACCTCTTGACATTTTTTAAGAAACATGCAGAATGTAAATATTGGACACCCATCAACAGATGATGATATTTTAGTCTACCCAACTGAAGCTGGCAGTTACAGCCAAAAAATGACTGCAAGATGGTTATTTAAACATTTTTACTATTAACTGTTTGTCTGTTTGTAATTATTTTAATCAGAGGATGGATTTTGATGAAACTTTCAGGGAATAGCTGTTTGATGTAGGCTACATCTGATTAACTTTTAAAACCAAGATGGCTGCCACAGCCAATTGTGCTTCAAATAATAAAACATAAATAAATACCAAAATAGTTACAAAAATGCACAAAATTAGTGTAGTTTTAGTTGTGTATCAGTCACATTAGATAAACCGGTGTACACTGTAAAAAATGAAATGTTGGATTTACTTAACCATGTTATGTTACCTGGTTCCACTTAACTGAGTTGAGTAAATTCAAAACAATATACCAGTTTTTTAGCCAAAGAACATGAGCATGTTGTTTTGAATTTACTCAACTCATTTAAGTGGAACCAGGTAACATAACATGGTTGAGTAAATCCAACATTTCATTTTTAGAGTGTAACTCATTTTGATAGATCTTTACCTTAAACTTTAACATTGACTTTTTGTGTCAACTCTGTTTGTCTGTTAGCAAAATATCTCACAAACCACCAAATGGATCTTAATGAAACCTTCATAAAGTTACCACTGGATGTACATCAACAACTGTTTACATTTAGGACTCAGTGCATTTCAATATGGCCACAAGAGTGAATTAAAATTTGGTAACACAAAAATGGTTGTAGCTCAAACAGTTTTAGAAATATTGAAATGAAGTTTTGGACGATAGTAGCTGAGAGTAATTCCCAACATAAACTTTGAACATAACAATGTTGCATGACTTTTTAAAAAGTTTGACAAAGACAGCCACCTCATCAGAGAATGAGCTTAGTCTAAAGCTGATCCTTCAAAGAATAAAAGGCCTTTCATTMTTTGTAAATTGACGTTTTCTGTTCGTCATTGTGTTTGTGTCGACAATTAAAAGGAAATAAAATCAAAAAATAATTCCCACGATCAGCTCCAGGACAGTGYGGTGTCGGTATGAAGCAGTCCCGGGTGAAGAAGGCTCCTCCAGCCGGGGGCGGGGCGCGCCTCCGCGGGCCCCTCCTCCTCCTCCTCCGCGCGCTGCCGCGGATGCTGATGCTGATGTGACTCCCACTCCAGTGGACGCAGGTGGAGGTGCGTCAAGGGACCCACAAGTCACCGAGACGTTACAGGGGCGACGGAACCTTCACAATAAAAGCCCAAGTGCGCCGTCTTTTCACGGAGGGTTTTAGTGTGAAAAGAAAAAAAAATAAATAAATAAAAAAATCCGAGTCCGGAGCGCCGTTTCCTGCCTTCCGGCTGACTTGACGGCGGGGGATGCAGGTGGAGCGACTCGGGCAGGACCGCGCACATCTGTCTTGAAGGAGAAAAGAGGAGGGGAAGAGGAAAACCTCATCGCTGTGGATAAAACAACAACAAACATCCATCTGAGCGACTTCCAGTTTTTAACTCACGGATATTATTGTTGTTTGGAGAATAGCGGGATTACCACAAAATACAAGTAAGGACTTTTTTTCTCTCCATCATTCTTGTTCTTTTTTTTTAACTGAACGCTTCAGTGTTTTTCTTTTTTTTTCCTGCCGGATTTGTTGCTGTTCGGGTCAGTGAAAGGCTTTTCATGTGGCGACAGGTGCAGAATCTGGTTRAAACACCAGCTTTATGCTCGCTTCTGCCGTGGAGGCGCAAAATGATGGGTCAGGATTTGGTTTGAGCTGCTGTTTGGTGCTTCTGGCTCCTGAAGTGGACACGTTGASTTCAGTGTGTGTTTGTGTGGACATGAGTGGCGAAGAGACACGCGTGGAGCAGACTGGGAATAATAATAATAATAATAATAATAATAATAATAATAATAATAATAATAATAATAATAATAATAATAATAATAATAATAATAATAATAATAATAATAATAATAATAATAATAAGAAGAAGAAGAAGAAGAAGAAGAAGAAGACAGTCAGTGTTCGGTCCAGACGATTTGTGCGGGGTTATTCTCACAGGTTCCGACTCAGTCAGAGGATTCGGGTCCAGTTAGGAGCTCAGAACGTCTGGATTWGGTTATGATAAGCTATTTTATACCACATATATATAATCGTCCCCACAGATAATGACCATAAATTACAAAAAAATAAAWTAATATGAAATGCTTTAAATTAACTCTTGTTGTGATGAGTTCCGGATTTTCTCCACTTATTTTTATTAATATAATAAATATTATTGAAGTTGTGTTTTTCCTTCTATAATACCATCTTTATGGTGTGCCAAATCAGGCCACCGGAGGGTAGACTTTCTTTAGCTGCTGCGTTTTTTCTTCTCTTTTTCTGTCTGCCGGAAAGAGGAGAGAGAGAGAGAGAGAGAGAGAGAGAGAGAGAGAGAGAGAGAGAGAGAGAGAGAGAGAGAGAGAAACAGGCTCCGGGTTGTTCCTGAAGTCTGCAGTAAATAATGGAGATGAGTTGGGAGACGCACGCTCCGATCGGCGCGTGGAAATGCGGGTTTCTGCGCGGAGCCCCGAGTGGAGGCGACGGCTACGCCACCGTGTTGCCCTAAAAGGGGGGTAAGAAAAAATGAAAGGAACGCCAACTGGGGTGCATAACGGTGCCAGTGCACGCAGAAACCTCTCACCCCTAAAAGCAGCGGGGGTATTAACAGAAACAACATGGAGTGGATGGAGAAGTCCGCAGGTATGAGCGGAGATCAGGTCAGCAGGACCGATGTGTGAACTGAGAGGCTCTGCGCAGAGGACACATGAAGTGTGTGTGTGTGTGTGGTTGTGTGTGTGTGTGTGAGAGAGAGAGGGAGCACTAAAGGGTAAGCTGAACGTTCCCCCAAGATATAAAAGCATAGATTCCCCACTGCTCCACGTCAAATCAGCTGTGAAGATTGGGCAAAAGTTTGATGACCCTGTCCAAAATGGCCAGATGTCCCTTAAAGTGTTGCTGATGACAACACAGCTCTGACTGACTCAGCTGAGAGTCATCACCAGAAAAAAAACTTAGGATGAGCTTCTTCTTCCCTACTGGTTCAAGCGATGATGTCTTCTTACTGTTTCAATTGTAAGAAAATGCGTTGAGTCAGAACAGGTACTGGTTCCTAAAGTTGGGGTGGGCCATAAGTGAAGTGGTCTTAAGATCAGCAGTGTCCATACTTTTTTGACAGCGTCTCTTGGCCTGCAGAAAATTTGAGTTTACTTTCTCCTCCTGTTTTTGGGTCATATTTTTCAGTTTTCCCTATTTTCTAGTGGTGGGCAATACTAGAACATTGGAAATCCATCCGATACCATACAGGGTATCACATATACTGTTGCTTGCCATGATCATTGAAAAATTGTGATTTTGCTTTTAGTTAGTGAGTTCTGATAAAACATAACACAAATGTTTATGGTAAATAAAGAGTTTCATATTGACTACAATATAAAACAATGTAATAGTGTAAAAATAATAAAATAATTCTCCAATTACCCTGTGACRGACTTGCAACCTGTCGAGGATGTACCTCGCCCCTTGCACAGTGATGCTGGATAGGATGTGGGCACCAATGATCCAATGATGGATAAAAGATAATGGATGGATGGATTAACTCTCCAAYTACCTTCTACTAAACACTAAAACTGTTTAAGAAAGTCATTAGTGCAAATAAAAAAAATAAAAAAGCAACAACGTAACAAAAATATACAATATATACAACAATGTCRTTAATACAACAAAAGAATGACTTCCATTGCACGAAGCTGTGATGTAATAACTCGGAGACCTCCATTTATTTGTGAAAAATAGTCATTAGTKYAAATAAAGTGTTATCAAAACCCTTAATACCATCACACTATTATTGATCTGAAATGATACTTATCTTGGCATCAATTTTGTTGCTTAAATCAATACGCCAACCCATACTATGTACTATGATGTTTTCCTAACTATTACATCATAGAATTTGTGACTGGACTGCCAAATAAAGTCTGGACTAAACAACTACAATTCTGTCATCTTCCTCCTCCTCTGGCTCGGGGTCAGACTCTGGCTTCAACACGTAAGGCTAGATGGACAAGTTCAAAATGAAAACCTGAATCAAACACATAAAGCTGCCCCAGTTTACAGTTAAGAACATTTCTTTTGCACACGTGAAGTTACACATGCCACGTGGTACCATAGTAATCTGTCTTCAGGTCAGGAACAAAATGGTATGGATCTATTGTCTCACCCTCTTCATATTCAAGTCACACCCATAGCAATTACCAAACCGTTAAACCCTCTTTCAATATACAGTGGACTGGACTGGAAGCTGGAAGGGGGCAGGATGTGAAACATTTAAAGAGACAGCGTCAAAACGAGCTGCTTTGAGACACRCCTCAGAAAAGGGGTGAAAGAGGGGAGTTACAATAAAGAGGAATTCAGACCAAAGCATTGCACTTTCGATTTGTATAGACCCAAACTGAATGATTTAAATGTGACAAAAAAAGCTTTTACGGGTGTAATGGTTTTTGAACTGTGATGSTTTGGTACAGACATGTTGGGTGGGTACAGTGAACTGACCACAAAATTGTCATTCATTCATTAATGACCAGAGAGGCAACATTAGAGCTTGCTAACACCTATGACAAAAAAATAAAACAATAAATAAAACCTGTAAACACTCAGCACTGAACTAATACCCCTACAAAGGTTGCTGGCCTGCCTGTTTATTCAAATCTGCTGCCCTACTGATTACAGACAGCTGCAAGATGGCAAGAATATTATGTAAGTGATATGTTATAGCCTACTGTGGCAAMTTAAAATATTTATTTAACTTCCCTGACATCAAGCCTTACTTCCTAACACTGAAACCTTTGAGTGCCTCACATTTACTCGTTTTCTTTCACACAGTGAGATGCTATTCATTCCTTTTAATTTTGCATAAAGCCTGGGTCAAATTAACTGAATTAAACACTCCTTAATTTTTATTTGTTATTATTATTATTATTATTATTATTATTATTATTATTATTATGCTACGATGTACCTTTCTGGAACTGATCAAACCCTAGTTTGACACATAGCCTATGGGTTACTCTTTACAGTTCAGATTGAATGATTCATTATTTAACCAGACAAATCCCATTGAGATCCCAGATCTCTTTTGCAAGGGGTTTCTGGGCCTGAAGGCAACCTAGCATGCATGTTTTTAGACTGTGTTAGGAAAACCTGGAGAAAATCCATGGAAACAAGGTGAAAACATGCAAACTACACACAGAAAGACCCCAGGTCTGAATTGGGGATGAAACCCAGGACCTTCATGCTGTGAGGCAACAGTGCAAACCACTAAACAACTAAACTGTTGCGCTGCTTTAAAAAGGCATGTATTGGAAAAAATAAAAATATAGTAACTGAGATTTATTTTATCCTCTGTGTGTCTGTCTGCTTTTTCTATTCAGAGGGATGTCAGTGAGTGAAAGRCACCAATGTTTGGTTACTATAGTGATCGCAATAGGCCTATTGTTTTTTATCTGCAGTTTGTACATCAAAGTATTGCCATTCTGTCAGTGTAGATTACATTGATAGACGCTGAAATATTTTTGTAGTATTGTTGAGCCCATTTAGAACTTTTCCAGAAATTTTTGAAGTTTTTAATTTTATTTTAAAAAAATTAAAAGCCAAGATCTGAGTGTAAACCTGAGCTCTTTGGTTATGCTGGATTATCTTCCTTTCATAAAGAAATATGAACTTAGCCGATACCTCAGTACAGAGTGTAGCTGCATTTCTCCGAGGAGCTTTCAGTGCACTTGACAAAAGGTGTTTCACATTGCCTTTGTGGGTTGAGATGAATTATAATAATTGCAAATTTCAGTGCAATTTGAATACATTGGTATTCAGTGGGTGCAAAAAGTGGATTTGAGGTCCCGTCCTTCTCTTTGTTATTGCTCAGCTCTCTGACACGAAGCTTCCAACAACTTCCCTGAATTTAAATCTGCAGCTTTTTCAACTCAAATGTCACCATTCTGGGTGGACTCAATCAGCATGGCATTTGTGTGCCACTGAAAATAACCTTTGATTTGATGATATCATGCATTGCCATGTGTTCATTTTATGTGTAAGACGCTATGGACATAGATTTTTTTTGAGATACTGTATTAGGATGTTTTTTAAGACTCATGTGTCACGTTGGGCATTGTCAGCCAAAGTGGTGAATCCAAGGAGCTGAAAAAAAAATTGCAGCTCTCTTAATTGTTTAATATTCCTTAAGGGAATGCACATCACCCACCATATTTTATGTCATAGTTTTAAACTAATCCTCCCATGTTGAGAAATAATGGAGGTGGAGTTGGTTTAGGAACAGGAAAATAACAATTGCACAACATGTCACTCACAGCATGTGTTGTTAATCACCCAGCTACTACCACATATTTTAGCCCACTGTCTGTAAAACTGACTAAGTTAAAGCCTTTTTTTTGATGAGGCGACTGTGGTAAAAAAAAAAAAACATAAGAGTTTGTCCTGTAACTGGTAGCTGGTTTGAACTCCTTATAGC